TTGTGCTTTCTGTTACAGAGAGCACATGCCTGGTCACTTAGCTCAATGGCAAGCCAGAACCCTTCCCCAAGACTGGAGAGACGTGGTGTTTGGAGCAGTGTCCAATCTAAGACGACTCCTCGTAACTGCTGATTATCTGTTACTGCTGCCCTGAGCTGGGGCCCAAGGGCTGGGAATCTGTTGGTGCTACCCTGCCCTTCCATTTCCCCAGCTCACAAACTGCCAACAGAAAATGCTGTTTGGCTAGTTCTCTCACACTCACCCTGCCCCTTGTCCTCAGACCATGTGTTTGTTTACCTGTCTGCTTTGCCAACGTAGTATCTTTAGCTAACAAATGGCATCTCCTGGCCAAAACATCTGGCCTTTCTGTCCCAGTTACAGCTTTTATACCCTCAACAGGATTCTGTTTGCCCCAGGTTCCTCCTAAGTTCCTGTTGAGGTTAGCTTCCATCACTTTTCAAAAGGAAAGAGCAGTGGTGGTTACTGAAGCATTTGTACTTTATATAAAAATTGAGAGTAGTGTCTGCTTTTATTTCCCCAAGTCTGTCTCTGGGGTAGAAACCCCTGAACTCAGGCAGAGGGATGAGGCTAGGACAGGGCTGACCCGAGCTTGGGGGCTAGTCCCTGCACCTCTCTGAATTACGCCTGCCTAGTTCTCCCCTTTCCTTCTTTCTTTCCACATCATCAGAGTAAGAAAAGCTCTGTGTTCAAAAGGAAGAGAAAACATAAATCATCTTATTTTCTTTTAAAAAAATTTTTAAACCATGAAGAAAATATTTTTAAAGAAATTCACCCAGGAAATTAAAGTTCACTATATTGCATATTTATCATGTGTGAAGATATAAGTATATAACTGCAGCTAGTAGACCCCTTTCCGGATTTCTTAGGTTGTGTGCGTAGGTTTGCTTGGTGCCAGTCCTGTGCCCTTTGCTCTCCTGTCATCTGTAGTTGTGATCAGAAACAGATGTCTGCACTGCACTGTCAGAGTCTCCGTTCACTATGTTGTGTGTTTGATTACCGTAGCTGTTTCATGAAATAAACTGTGAATTGGGGGGTGGGGGGTGCAGGCTATGTAAAATTTTTAAGTGAAGTTTAGTCTTGACTTAACTTCTCTAAAATAGGTTTCAGTAGTTAATTGGCTTTGACAGCTGTCTAGAAGTGTCTCACAGAACAGGAGGGAGGGATGGGGTCACGATTGGCCACCCGTGTTTGTTGCGATATTTTCATTCACCGCCATTCTTTGGAGCCTTCCTTCCAGACCTGCTGGGAAAACATCTGAACTGTGTACTTGTGGGGTGGAGGGAGTGAGGGGCATGGGTGAGAAACAACCCTTCTAATGACAGGCACGTTTTGTTCAGGGCCACTGAAAGACTCTCAGGTTGTTGAGTTGGAACTAGACATTTGAGCGGAGACCCACAGCTAACAGCATGAGTTGTGTTAAAATAGGGTATTGGTTACTGTCCTTCAGTAACAAGTGCTTAGGGAGCAGGGACTTGAGTGTGATGGTGGGAAGAGGGTGACCTTGCAGTTCTGGGCTGTGTTTGAATCCTGTAATAACCCTTTCTTTGAGAGTGTGAATTGGCAACACAGAAAATCTTACTAGAAACTTCTGATCATTGGACAGGTTGTATTTTGGCATTGGCATTTGGCTAAGTGCTTGAAATTTGAATTGCCAGAGAATCTACCTGTGAGACAGCACCTAGGAAGTTCTTTCCAGGGACAAGCCAAAGGCAGAAATGCTCCTAGGTAGTGGCTATACTTCTTGTTTAGTTAGAGGGAAAAAGGGGTGGAATTGTTGAAATTTGCATTTAAAACTTCATTTTTCTAACTGTTGGAGCCAACCCATTTTAATAGAAGGTAGCCACCATTTACAACCACCCCCCCCAGTATTTTTAGATGTCTGCTTCCCTAAAATTACTGAGTTTGAAATTATTTGCATAACTGTGTCATTTTTTTTAACGAATTCTGCATCTTTGGTATTCATATCCTCTACCCCACACGTACAGTCTGGGCTTGAAGTGCAGTAGTAGTGAGCCTTCGTGGCTCTGCACTGTCAGTTCCCTGAAGCTGAACTTTGAGATTGTATTCCAGTGTTGTTCCACAACTGACAGGAAGGATGTCTAGGTTGTCCATGCAGGGCAATCAGGAGAGCATTCAATCAGATGGGTCTTGCCCCGGCTCCAAAAAAATTAAGTTTTCTAAAACTTGTCAGGACATTGTTATCTTCTTGGGGATGTTGTCATTGAATGAAAAGAGGCCCAGTGTCCTCACTTCCTAGATCAGAGGACAGGAATTTCCTGTTGTTGAGTGATTAATGTTAAAAGTATCCCAAGTCGTTTAGACCTAGGTAGCTTCTGCAGGAGCTTTGATTGGCTATGACCAGTTTGTTTTCAGCTGAGCTTCCTAGGTCAGTGCAGTTCTATAGTGTAAATTGAAATACAAATAATTGCTTTGTACACAAAACAATGTAATGATGGTGCTAATCTCATGGTATAAATAAGCACTGCCAAGGGTTGAGGAAGTGGTGACATGAGAAACCCCAGTTCCCGTTTGGGAAGATAATTTATGTAGGTTCCTTTCAGCTCTATGAGAGATAGGCGGCAGGCAGTGTCACTGATGCCTGCCAACCCAACCCTGGAGTTTTTAGTACGATCCAGAGGTGAAGAGATGATCCCAAATCCAGATGATGGCCACTGAGTTTCTCAGGGCTAGGGTCACCTTTGTCCCATCCTGTCTAGGACAGTTTAGAAGAGAACTATGGGTGTGGGGTATCCACTACCTTCTGCTTCTCTACCTCTTCCCCTCTCGTGGCAGCATCTCAATTGCTTATGAATAAGGGCAATGTCTCTTAAGAACGTTGGGAGAGTTTTATTTAGACAACTACAACCTCACAAGAGATGTTTTCTTACCAACATAAGCAAAACAAAAACTCTTTTGTGGTCTTTACCCTAGAGTAGCCTTCCTGTGACTTAAGAACATAAGACTATGAGGGGCTCCAAGGGTAGCTCTTGGGAGCTTAGCACAGATTGACAGGTAAACACAGGGAGCAGAGTAGAAACCAAGGAGAGTCCTGGTGTTCTCATTCCAGGGTGGACAGAGTAGGTGGTCTCCAGGCTATGGTGGTGCCGCCTTATGTATGTAGGTGAGTGTGAAAGTTGGGTGAGTACAGCACCTAGGAGCTCATGGAAAAGCAGCTTTTTAGGTCTTGGCGAAGAAAGCTGACTAGAAAGCTCTATTTTTTAAATGGGGAAAAGGGTTCAGCCAAGGTCCATCACTGTGTTCTCTCACCCCCCCCCAACAGATTGTCAGCTGGAAGTGAACCTCCTAGTGAAAAAGAGGGGAACCCTGTGCTAGGAGTCCCCATAAACATGTACTGTAATTCTTTGTATATAGAAAAAATTACTGTAAAGTAAAGTTTAACTTTACTCTTATGGCCCTTGCCCTGTGTTTTTATTGTCTCTGGGGAGATGTAGCATAAGACAAAGGACTGACTGGTTTGGGGTAAGAGCTAGAGCCAACCTGAGCTTAAGGCCTTCAAGAACTTCAAGAAAATTGACCTCCCAGATTCCTTCCTTTCCATTGGGAGTTGCAAAATATTTCTGTGTAACCCTTGGCTGTCCTGGAACTCAATCTGCAGACCAGGCTGGCCTTGAACTATACCTCCAAGTGCTGGAAGTAAAGCCACCACCACTCTCACGGGCATTTTGAGGAAGTAAAGAGAAACGAAACCAGGGCACTGGGTTGTTTAGAGACATCCTCACTATGCTGTGCAGTCCAGACTCACCTCAAACTAGTCTGTCTCCTGCCTGGCTGCCCAGTTAGTGCTTAGATGTCAGAAAAATGGTCCCAAAATGCCTTCTGGGCAGGAATAGGACCAGTTGGTATTTCTGAAATCTTCAAAGGCAAAGGGGCCCTGAACTGGCATCACACCCTCACACTTAACTAGAAAGGGCTGCAATACACTTCCTTGTTTAAACAGGAAGCGTTAGCCCTTTTTACATTACCATCTAGGTTTTCAGGGTATTTCTGATCCTGAAAAAATTAGCAGTTGTCTCAATTTTCTTTTTCTCATTTTATTTATTTACTTAGGGTTTTGTGTGTTCTTTTATTGTTTTGTTTTCTTATGGGGGTGGGAATTTTACTGTGTAGCTGTGGTGGCCTGGAACTCAGGCACATCTGCCTCTGCCTTCTGAGTGCTGAGATTAAAGACAAGCCATCACTGTCTTCAAATCCTTTTGGTTTTTTGTGTTTTGTTTTTAGTTTTTTTTTTTTAATGATGTATGTGGGTATTTTCGTTTTATTTTTCAAAACAGGGTTTCTCTGTGTTATTGCTGTCCTGGAACTCAATTTATAGACCAGGCTGGCCTCAAACTCAGATCCACCTGACTGCCTCCCTAGCGCTGGGATTAAAGGTGAGCACCACCACCACCCAGTTTTAAGTCCTCTTTTTAAATTAAAAGCTAAATTGCATCCATAAAGTCTTTTTGACTTGCAGAACTATGGATTGCCTCTTGTTAAATATATTACAGGGCAATCCTGGGAAGCTTAGGACTGAGTCACAGCCCTGAGCCACAGTTCTAGACATGACACAAGAAGTTGAGCTGGCCAAACTAACTTTGAGCCTTTCATCTGTGGGTACAACTTACGTGCTTTCCTTGCTCTAAGAGTTTGTATTCCTCCATCCCAGTCCCTAAGCCTATTTCATCCCCACGAGAGAAAAGAAACTGCTTAATCAGTCAGTGATAAAGTTCTTGACTGGTATGTTAGAAGCCTTGAGGGTTTGCTCTACATGCACATACACACACACACACACACACACACACACACACACACACACACGGAACTGTGCGTGGGGACATAAGAGCCCATTGCTTCTCCATGATTTCGGTGACTCACTATTTGGTTTCCAAATGCTGACAGGAAGTGAGGCCAGTCTGATGGCCCCAAGAACAACTAGGTGTTCTGACACCCAGTGCACAAAACAGGGAAGGGGCTGTGAGTCACAGTGCATCAATTTTATTTACAGTTCAGAAGCTAGTTAAATAATCTGTGGACAGAAGTTCTGTCCAGGACACAAGCCTGGAAGTCAAATCAGCCCTTATCCTTCTTCATGCCCACAATCTGCCCAATACTGCCTCCGTTCCATGGGCCAGCACAGGCAGGTGCCACCTCTGCTGCCAAGGGGACCTGGAGCAGCTCAGACACTTGACCACACCAGCCCAGACAAGAATTGGGTCCAAGCCCTCTGGGGGAATTCATTTAATTCTCCCAGGCCAGATGAGTGGTGGCTCAGTGATGACAGCAGCTGTAGAAGTAAGGGTTTGCCTTCTGGCTCAGGTCCACACCTTTGTCCTCTGTCAAAGAGAGAGGTGGCTGCTCAGCACTATTGTGGTGGTGATCAGGTAGGTCACCAGCAGGACTAGAGTCCACGAGCCTAGAGGACATCTTAATAGGTGGGGAGTACACACCTGTCATCACCTGGAAAGCCGCCACACTGACGTAATCCTCTGCCACTTTCTGGAAGAGCTCGTCTGGCAAGCAAAGGATCAGTGAGGCCCTGGTGCCAGCATCCCTGAGAACTCCCAGTGACCCAGCCCTCTGAACCTTTTTTCCTTCAGTGTCCTGCCTTCTGCTGGCAGGCCCCAAGACAGCACTCACCCACACTCTGGCCTGTCTTGCTGGATGTTTCAAAGAGCTGGGCTTTGATATCTGCAAAGAGAAGTGACTCTTTATCCCTGGGAATCAGGACCTAAATGTAGTTAACAGTTCAGTGTCCTGGATCGCATAGGTTCAAGAAGGCCAGAAAGCAGCCAGGGGTGTCAGTCTGCCGTCCTTGTAATCCACTCAAGCAGGTATCACCCACTCTCTGCCCCCACCCCCACCCTCAAAGGTTTTAGAACATTTACTATCTGCATAATCTTGGACATCGTGGAAGTCTACACGACGGCGCCGCCTGTCTTCCTCCAGCAGGTCACTCTTAGTGCCACACAGGTAAATTTGACAGCCCTGTAGCAGAAGACAAGACTGAGATTATCTCCACAGACCAACATGGTCCCTGTCGCCGATCTGTGGGATCTGGTCACCTACCTCTTCTAAACTGCGCAGCTCCTTCACCCAGAATTTGGCTCTCTCAAAACTGCTGCTGTCAGTGAGGTCTTGGTGTAAGGGTCAGACAGGAGACACAATCAAGGATCAGTGGTTTCCCTCTGTTGTTGGCCTGTAACCCAACCCTTAAAATAGGCCAGAATCCAGCCCCTTACCATAACACACAATGGCAGCTTTGGCGCCCCGATAATAGATTCTGCTCATGGCTTCGTAGCGCTCTGATCCTGCTGTGTCCTGGGGGGTGAAGGTAAGCTCCTTCATAAGTCTTAAGAACAAGGCCTGCGTCTTCCAAACCCCCATTTTTTTTTTAAGATAACTGAATGGGTGTGGGGAAGGAAAAACGACCTCTATAAGGCTCCACTTGGCTAGCTTAAGAGGCAAGATATTAAACCTAGGAAATGGTTTTGCTCAAAACTATATCCCCAAGGGACTTACCCAAATACCCAGAGTCACCGTCCGATCTCCAACGCACATCACCTTGGCCACGAAGGCAGCCCCAATGGTCTGCAACCAGGTAAGAGATAAGAGTCGAATGCAGGCCAGCCCCCTTCTTCCCGGGCCTGGCCCGGTGGGGTGCACTTACGTTCTGATACGGGCCCACCAAGAAGCGGTCGTGCACGTATCGCTCCACCAGGCTTGTCTTGCCCACGTATTCCTTGCCCAGCATAACCACCTTGACGTCCACGCGCTGCCCGCTCATGCTCCCAGGGCCGCCTCACTCACGTCAGGGTCCGCGTGGCCCAGGCAGAGCCCAAGCCTCAGACCCTAACCCCAAGGGCCTCGCTCGTCGCAGGCCCCCGGAGCTTCGGCCGGGGCGCTCCGTCCCTAGCAGAGCCGCGGCGCGGGGACGCGGATAGCGCCCTCCGCCGCGCCGTCGAGCCCTGCACCGCTCACCCGCGCGAACGCTACTGCGACTGAGGCTCCGCCGAGCCGGGTTTACAGACTGAAACCGGGGTCCCCGAAGCTAACTCCAGCCAGCACCTTCGGAATTGGACGCCAGGGGGCGGGACATCCGATCACGTGTGCGAGCGCCGGAAGTGGCCGAACCTACGCAGCCGGCGCCGGAAGCGTCGCACAGTCTTATAGTCCCTCATGGCGGTCGTAGGGACTTGGGCGCGGCGCGGCGGTGACTGAGCTGCGAGCCTGGCGGGCGTGCGCCGAGCCACGTGCCTCCCACCCCCGGGCTCTTCACCCTGATGCTGCACGGGTGCTGAGCCCGTCCGGGTCGGGACGATGGTGAAGTATTTCCTGGGCCAGAGCGTGCTCCGAAGTTCCTGGGACCAAGTGTTCGCTGCCTTCTGGCAACGGTACCCGAATCCCTATAGGTACGTGGCGGTGGGTAGAGCGAATGGCCGTCCTTTCTCCATCTGAAGGTTGGAGTGAAGGCTGTCCTTGAGTATTGGAGCCGGGAAAGACAGGACAGCGAATCTGACGTGGTGTCTCGTACTGTGGCCACAGTTAGAGCACAAAGTCCTTGTTAAGATTAGGACCAGGCCAAGCCTGCAAGGTCCTCGAAGAAGACTGTCTACGCTATGGATTATATGAGGCTCTAGATTTTTATTTTGTGGTCTCAAGGTGTTGAGACTGGAAGAGGCGGGGGAAACAGGAGTTGAGTTACCTTGGGGTTTGGGAATCCTGGCGATGGCCTGCTCACCTGCCCGTGGCGCTCCCTAGTGGTACAAATCTTGGAGATTGGAAAAACGTCTGAAACCAGGTCAGGAAGGAGGAGGGGATTGGAATTTGCCCGGGGATCAGTTCTGTATACCCTTAACTTTGAACCCAGGTACAGATCACTTAGTAAGATTGCAGGAAGCCATGACCTGGAGGCTCCAAGCGGGAACCCGTAGACAGTTTATCAGGAGCAGACTTCTGAGAATAATCTTTACTTTAACCCCCGCAGCAAACATGTCTTAACGGAAGACATAGTACACCGGGAGGTGACCCCTGACCAGAAGCTTCTGTCTCGGAGACTCCTGACCAAGACCAATAGGATGCCACGTTGGGCGGAGCGACTTTTTCCTGCCAACGTTGCTCACTCGGTGTACATCCTGGAGGACTCTATTGTGGACCCACAGAACCAGACCATGACCACCTTCACCTGGAACATCAACCACGCCCGGCTGATGGTGAGACCTCCTTTGGTCCCTTAAAATAGTTGCCCTCCAGGTCTCAGGCAGTTGTGGGAACCCCTGTGGCCTGAAGCAGGTGTGGAATACTAATGAACAAAGTCTACAGCCTCTCTAGGCCTCTCCCTTGGCTCTCAGATGGTGGGGAAGACACCTCTTTTGAGAACTTGTTTCAAGTGCTGTGCACAGAACTCTAGGTTAGTGTATGACGTACATACATACAGGGTGGACTTTCAGGAGTGGTGCTGGGCAGAACGGGAGGTGGCGACCTGACGGATAACCAGCACAGTGGTGTGTTTGTGACTACTATCTTTGTGTTCTTCAGGAAGTTGCCACTCACTTTGATAATGAAAGCTGTGATTATCAAATGATGACTCTCTGTGTGTGTGTGTGTGTGTGTGTGTGTGTGTGTGTGTGTGAGAGAGAGAGAGCGCTCAAAGGGGAGAGTTCAGAATGTAGACTGGAAATACTGTGCATGGCTGAATCTATAGGCCCCAAGCAAAGCCCAGGATCAGGCTGGAATGCCAGCTCATCCCCAAGACTTTTTTTTCTTTTTCTTTTTTTTTTTTTTTTTTTTTTTTTTTTTTTTTTTTTTTTTTTTCCGCGACAAGGTTTCTCTGTAGCTTTGGTGCCTGTCCTGGAACTAGCTCTTGTAGACCAGGCTGGGCTCGAACTCACAGAGGTCTGCCTGCCTCTGCCTCCCGAGTGCTGGGATTAAAGGCATGCGCCACCACCGCCCGGCTAAAATTATTTATCTAAAATTATTGGTGTTTTGCCTGCATGCATGTCTGTGTGATGATGGCAGATCTCCTGGAACTGGAGTTACAGACAGTTGTGAACTGCCATGTGGGTGCTGGGAATTGAACTCAGGTCCTCTGGAAGAACAGCCAGTGTTCTTAACCACTAAGCCATTTCTCCAGCCCGACTATTAGAACATAGGGCAAGTACTCACCCAGTGTCGAGTGCAGGAGTGTGATGCTGGCTTGAGGCACAGTAGAGACAGGGTGTGAGTCTGTGCAAGTGCACAAAGCAATGGACACGCCTACAAGGTGCTCTCCTGGATTCCCTGTGCAGGTGGTGGAGGAACGATGTGTTTACTGTGTGAACTCTGACAACAGCGGCTGGACCGAAATCCGTCGGGAAGCCTGGGTCTCCTCCAGCTTATTTGGTGTCTCTCGAGCTGTCCAGGTAAGAGGTTTGGGAGCTGGGCCCCGCTGGGCGCTGGGTCACTGAGCAGCTCTCCCATGCTCCTTCTTCTTCTGCCAGGAATTTGGCCTTGCCCGGTTCAAAAGCAATGTGACCAAGACGATGAAGGGCTTTGAGTACATCTTGGCCAAGCTACAAGGTGAGAGCCCTGGACACTGCTTGGGGACTAAGGGACCCTTATTAGCAGTGGCTGGGATGATCCTACCTCAGCTTGACCAATGCCTTGGGCCAATCATTGCCCTGTTCTGAGCCTGAGGTTCTTGTGTGCCTGCAAGGGTGGGAGGGTCAAGAATCAGGACATTGACTCCATTCCTAAGAAGCCTTGGTTGGATGGGGATCAAGTGGGTCTTCTAGGCATCTTCTGAAGCCAGCCTCCTGTTGTTTGCCACAGGGGAGGCTCCTTCCAGAACACTCGTTGAGACAGCCAAAGAGGCCAAAGAAAAAGCAAAGGAGACGGCACTGGCAGCTACAGAGAAGGCCAAGGACCTGGCCAACAAGGCCGCCACCAAGCAGCAGCAGCAGCTCGTGTAGCTGCTCCCTTCCTCTCCCTTCTCACTGTACTTGATTATTAAAGATGCGCCTCCAGCCCTCTCTGCTGTCTGGGTGGTGGGTTCGGGTGGTGTCCTGGTCCGCATCTGCAGTATACCCGGCTCAGCATCTACTGAGCCCAGCCTCCTTTTACCCCATTGGGCAGAAAGGTGCAGTGACTTGCCCAGGGTCAGAAGCAGTACACAGGTGAAGCGGCGACACATGATAGACTGTGCGCTCCACGAGGGCAGGGCTCCTTGTTTTATTCTCTGATGTGTCCCAAGTACCCTGAACAATATTTAGCACATAACAGGCACTCAATAAACACGTGAATTGATTGGCCCCAGTTCTGGAGTCAGACAGCATTGGTTTGGAACCTGACCTCAGGCAGGTCGCCTCACTGCCTGGCACCTCCAGCAGCCTCCACCTGTCTTAGGTGTGTGCTGTCCAGCACATGACCATGTTTGGCAGCGACCGATCTGATTTCCTCTTTTCCAGTTGTGGCTGGGACTTCCTCCATCTCATCAGGCAGAACCATGGACAGGAACTTACGAAAGAGGATTTTAATGAGAATACTGTGCAGTATATGTGGGGCAGAGGCCTGGGGTTTTGCCCAGGAACAAGAAGTCTACAGGCTTCCTGTCCCTGGGCGCGGGGGGGGGGGGGGGGGGGGGGGGGGGGGGCAGCAAAGCAGAGCCAAGGGCTACATAAAATGCCCTGGGGGATGAGGAAGGTGTCCCAGGCTCAAGCTGTGCAGCAGAGTGCAGAGTCCTGTCCCCACACAAGGGTCTTTGTGGTCTCCCAACAAGTGGCTCTAAACAGACATTGGAACTTGTGTGGGGCTCCCCTGCCTGGCAGGCTCAGTCCAGAGAGAGAGGCAGCTGGCGTCATAGCCAGGTACCGGTGCTGTGTGAATAGCTGAGCCCCTGGCCAGCACTGAAGCTCTGAAGCAGCTCAGTCTCAGTTCCGAACACCAGGCTCTCCACATCCACCTCCACGTCCTCTGCAGAGAGAAACCCATCAGGAACCCCGCCCACATGCCACAGCTCAGTGCTGCCCAGAGAAACCCACCAGGAACCCCGCCCACATGCCACAGCACTCACCTTGGTCTGAGTCTGAGCGCTCAGAGGACAGAACTGAAGAGTCCAGGCTGTCTGCTCGCGGCCTGTCCCTCTCTCCACCCCGGGGCAGCCCCTGGAGCTGCTCCAACTGCTGCTGTAGGCTCTGCTGTTTACTGCGAAGCTTTTCCTTGAGCCGCTGGGCCTGCTGCTCCTGCTCCTCCAGCTTCTGCAGAATCCCAGGAGCAGGGACTCGGGTCAGCTGCCCAGGGACTGGCCTTTCTGTGGCCACCGGTACCTTTGTCTATGCCAGACAGGCAGCCACATAACCAACCTAAGCTAGTTTCATGTCCTTCAGGGCCATCTCCTGCCCATCTAAGTACAAAGATCTGTCTAGATGGCTGTGCTTGACAAGGTACCCCAATCTCAAATGCCTTTAGGGTCTTTTTTTTTTTAAAATATTTATTTATTTATTTATTATGTATACAATTTTCTGTCTGTGTGTATGCCTGAAGGCCAGAAGAGGGCGCCAGACCTCTTTACAGATGGTTGTGAGCCACCATGTGGTTGCTGGGAATCGAACTCGGGTCCTTTGGAAGAGCAGGCAATGCTCTTAACCACTGAGCCATCTCTCCAGCCCGCCTTTAGGGTCTTGTCACATAATAGGGTAAAATACAATGTCAGTACAAACTTGGAGACTGGTACCCTGACAGGCAAAACTCTGGCTAAAGGATATGGCCATGCCTAAGTTGCAGCCCATTGCTGCCCATAGTCACAGACCCAGCCAGCTCTTCCACTCTCCAAATTTTTTATGTCAAGTGTACTTTGAAGCACTGCCAACTACTTTTAAATTATTGGACTAGAGGCTACTAGTTCACTGGGCAAGCAGCTCGGTGGTAAGGTGCTTGCCTAGCACGTGCAAGGCCCTGGGTTCGGTCCTCCCATACAAATGATTTTCTGCTTTTTAAAACGAGAATAAACCAAAACACTCGAGACAAGGTACAGAAGGATGCGTGTCCTCACGTAGACTAAGATGTGGCATTGGATTACCACCAAGGCAGAGGAACCCTGGGAAGCTTGCAGGGTCCAGCTTTGTCTGTCTGTGGTAGGCAGTGAGAGAAGCCTAAGAAAGTCGTCATGAGGCTGTGGAGCCCAAAAAAGCAAGGCCTGCGTTAGACAGAGACTTGAGTTTCATAGGAAGTAGGTACTGAGACTGTCCTGCCACGGTTTCCAGCTGGAGATGAACCTCTGTAGGTCTACATACAGAGTAGAAAGGAGCCCGAGAGACACCAAGTCAGAGGGGAAGGAAGCCCAGGAGATGCTGCCCGGGGCTTGCCATGTGCCACTCAACACCTGAATAGCACGTTTCATCTACCTGAAGATGACGGCAAAGGAACTTCATGGGAGAACGCAGAGCCTATGTGACAACCAGAATAATGGAAGTGACAGTATGCACCTATGTGACAACAATCTGTCCCACAGCCAAGATTTGTTTGCTGATGGCACTGATTGCCATGGCCCTTGGCAAGAGCCTGACAGTGGTGCTTAATGAACTGCTGATAAGGCAGGACAGGCATTAGTCTTGTGGTCCTGAATCTGCCTCGGCTGCTGTGCCTCCAGTCTGGCAGTATCTGTTTTTTCTCATCAAAGGGGCCTGGAAGGCAGGGAAAACCCTCTTTTGTTTCCAAGGGAGCTTCTAAAATGCCCACATGGCTGGCACAGCCTGGGCCTTGGCATCTGCATACCCACTCTTGTCCACCAGGGGGCCTGCAATCCCACCTAAGTAGTGGCAAGGCCAGGTTGGACCAGCTAGCGGTTCACCTCTGTCCTTTGCTGAGAGAAGGCAGGGACCAGCCCTCTACAGGCAATGGATCACATGGCTCACGACAGTATTTTCAACAGGCATATACTCTGCAGAACTAAACAGCCAGGACCTAAGTGATACCATAACAAAAAGGACCTTTACAGGGCCTCAGAACAGCCCAGCTGTCTGCTTTCCTTCCCATTTGAGAGATTCGGAAACGGTTGTCTCACATCACACAGGATGGGGACAGGTCCCAAAGCTCCAGCCAGGCCCTCCACACCACACCGTCCCGTTCCGTCTAACGAGCACACTGGAGACACCTTACCTGGATATGCATCCTGGCCCGGCGCAGCAGGCTCAATGTGGTATATCGGGTACAGTCAACCCCCAGGGGCATCTGCTGCCTCAGCTGCTCCAGGCACCGCTTCAGCTGGGCTCTCCTGCAGGGAAAGAGTTCTGGAGGGCATTGCCAGCCCCACCTCACCGGCCAGAGGGATGGCAAGGGGGGAAAGGTCTGAGAGAAACGGTCCTTGGGACCTGGTTCTCAGGGCCAGATTGGAACTCACCTGCGTTTCTCCAGCTCATTGTGCACAGACCTGCCAATGCCAAGAGGAGAGGAAGTGAGGGGCAGTGGGTACTGTTCAAATCCTCAACCCCAGGTTATTGGGCAGCTCAAAATTCACTACAGATATCTGTGCCAAGTGAGCCTTTTTGTGACAACCCAGGCTCATCTAGGGCACCAAAATCCCAGGCTGTGACAGAGGAATCAGAGGCACATACACCGAAAGATACAGGACACCTGCCCGGGGTAGTTGTGGGGTCTCCCCTGACAGCCAGGTAAGAGGGGGTGACTGGACAGATGTGACATTGGATCCAAAAACAAGTCTGCCAGAGAAGCCAGTAGATGGGAAAACATTTAAAAGGAACGGCATATGCAAAAGGTCAGAAAAGCTGAAGCCTGTAGGGGAGAGAGTTCAGAAGTGTGAGTGGAAGGGGACTCAGAACTGTCTTGTTACAGTTCATGGCCACATCAAAGGTGCTTTAGGAGTCCGTGAGTGGGCGCGAGCGCGACACACACACAGAGGCAGATGGAGTAGGGTACCTGGCCCAGAAAGGCAAACAAGGAAGTGAGAAGAGGGTTAGATGGGCCAGCTGAGAACTAGCGCCCCTCCCCACACTGCCCCATCCCTGCTCACCGTCCACTGTTCAGCGCACCAGGAGCTTGCACGGGTCGCTTCCTCCTCTTGTAGACAGTGCCGGGGCTGTAGTGTGGACACAGGGACGCATAGCCATGCTCCGCCTCTGCCAGAGAGAGGACCCAGCCCGTCAGCCGGAGCCCCTGGCACGGCGTGATCAAGGAAAGGTTTTTGGCGCCAGGATCCTATCCCCAGTCACTCCCTGCCCTGACGCCCGCGCACTCCTGTGGATGTGCGGGCGGCAGGGCGCCAGCTGCCCTCGAGCCGTACTCTGTCCAAGTTGGGAGCCAACTCCTGCCCGCGCACGGGGTCTGTCCTCACCTCTCTCGCGCCTCTCCAGGAACTCCGCAGCCTGCAGCAGGACCTGGATGTTGCTGGCCACGGGTTCCATGTCGGCGACAGCCGCCGGCGAGCGGGAGGGCCGGGGATGCTGGCCCTGGCAGCCGCGGAACCACTTTTGTTTCAATGTAACTGACACGGTGCCACAAACACAGGGCCCGCCCCGCCCCCGGCCGCCCCGCCCCGACCCCGCCCCTGGGAACTGCGGCCGCCCCGCCCTGCCCCGCCCGTCCCACCTCTTCCCGCCCAGTCTGTCCCGGTCCACGGCTCCAACGCCTGGTGACAAGCGCTCGGCCGGGTCGGACAGCCTGGACACCGGGTGCTGCGAGCTGCCCACACTCCTGCCACCCGCAGTCGCGCGGGTCCGGGTTGCACGTGCGCGCGGGCGCGGCCGCATCCTCGGGGCGGGCCGCGAGCCTCCGAGCCGGGGTTGGCTGGCGCGCGGCCCCGCCCTCTCCCGCCGCTGGGCCCCGGCTCGGGCGGGAAAAGCCGCAGGTTTCAAATTTGAAAACCCGAACGATGAGGGCGGGGGCGAGAGGAGAGGGATGGCGATGCGCACGCGCCTGCGGAGGGGCGCGGGCGCAGGACACGGTCAGTCCCGCATCTGCCCCTCGTGGGTCCTCAGCTTCCACCATTTGAGTGGAATGAAAATCTCTCCGGTTTCTCCTGTCATATGCAGAGAAGCGAATGTCATCGTGAGTACGTCGGTAGGTAACAGCTTCCCAAACCAGGGCACGAAACACACCGTCTGGCCCTGGGTTCTGGAGTGACGGAACCGGGCTCCTCTCCCGTCACTGCTAAGTGTGGACAACTCGGGGACCCTGAGACAGCGTTGCGGAGGGGTCAGAGCTAATGCCTATGTAGTGCCCAGAAAGCAAGCAGCCATCTCTCGTTAGAGCAGTTGCAACCAGACAGCCCGCCCCTGGGAGGACCTTCTAGAACAAGACTGCTATGCTTGTGGTGAAGGCTCCTGGAGCAGTACCACCAGGGGTGGCCACACCTATAAGTCAGGAAGGGTGGGGCATTCTGAGAGTCTGCTAGAACAGAGAGGGAAACTATGAAATGGTCTAGGGAAACACAGGCCCCTTCCAAAGAGGCGCTCTTAAAAGTCTGCCAGAGAAATCAACTGTTAGCTAAGAATTGCCGTGCTGTGTAAGAGTTTGTACTCTGAAAGAAAACCATTTTAGCTATGAAAATAGACACCTTGAGGGCTTCCCGGACATGGGACAGGTGGATGGCCCCTAAAACTCCCATCAGCAGTCAACGTTGTAAAGCTTAAGGATGAATTCCTTCCGGAAGAGAGTGAGGAGGCTATTAACACAGGGTCTCATGTCCAACAACCTAGCTTCAAACTCTCTATGTAACCAGAGATGATGACCTGCTGATACTCCCTCCCGAACACTGGGGTTACAGACGAGCACCATATAGCCAATCCCTTTCTAATTTCATTTGTCTACAGCACACACACAGTGCAGGCACAAACCTCATCACACATCTGGTGCTCAGGTGGTCTGAGCAGAATGGACACGGAACGGCTCTCCCAGAGAAGTTCCAGCAGAGGGAAGTAAGACTGGCACTGAATAGGAACTAAGCGGCCACTTCATCCTGGGAGCTGTGGGGAACAGCATGGCCGAACGGTGGTGGAGGTCAGCCTGGCCTGAGGCCTCCCATGGGTGTGGGTCAGGGCCACCAGCCAGCACTAGGTAGGTAAAACACTTCAAGGGCAAGGTGCTGGGAGGCCCCCATAAGAAAATGCTGCAGCAAGTACTTTGCAGGCCATGAACCGACAGAACTCTCAGTATTGTGATCGTCAGCAGAAAGAGCCTCTGTCCCTCAATCCCCTGTGTCCTGTGCTACCCAGGGGCATCCATGGCCCTGTCAGTCACAGGAAGTGGGGAGGGCTTACCTTGTTGCAGTTTGTCAGGTTCTAGAGTCCAGGATGGACTTGTGCCTTGGGTGAGATAGAAGACAGGGATTCCCAAGGAAGGCTGCCTCCATCTCATCCTATAGATAGTTGAGGGGATGATCCTGCTGCTCCACCCCAGAACCCCGCACTATCCTCTCTGTGGGTGGGGGAGCTGGCGATCAGGGTGTGGGAACCTGGCTGAGCGGCTGAACTCCCTCCCAGCCGTCCCTTACTGTGGAATAGCCTTCCTTAGCCTAAGCAATGCCCTGCTGAAGCCTGTGGTGAGTCCAAGAGCTGACTGTGCCCCTGCTGCTGCCGCCTCGGCAGATCCTGCCCTTGTTTCCCTGCTCTACCAGCTGTGCTCAGATGCCTGGTCCTCCAGGAAGGGTCCAGGCCTCCCTCCTTCCATGCATCCTCTAAAAACACCAGCATCCCTTGGGTCAGCTCTTCTACCAGAGGAAAATAGTACTGAGAAAAGCAAGAAGCCATGCTGGTGGGACAGTAGCACCCAGCTAGAGTCCACTGGGAATGTCACCCCAGGCTATCAGGGTGGCACAGCACAGTGACACTTGATGTGGCTTCTTACCTCTTTCAAGTGGACTTTTTTTTTTATCCGAGACAGGGTTTCTCTGTAGCTTTGGAGCCTGTCCTGGAACTCACACTCTAGACCAGGCTGGCCTCGAACTCTCAGAGATCTGCCTGCCTCTGCCTCCCGAGTGCGAGTGCTGGGATTAAAGGTGTGTGGCACCACTGCCCGGTTTATTATTATTCTTTTAATATATATGGGCATTTTGCCAGCATGCATGTGTGCCTGGTGCCCTGGCGGCCAGAAGAGTCGGAGTCCCTGGAACTAGAGATACAGATGGTTGTAAACCACCATATGGGTGCTGGGAATCTAACCTAGATCAGATTCTGGAAGAGCACCCAGTGCCCTTAACTGCTGCTCCATCTCTCCAGCCCCCCTCAAGTGACCTTTAGGTGATTCCTTTAGGAAATATGTATCTTTGGATTATCACAGTCTACCTTGGATTAATATGGCTCAATATGCATGTGTGCATCCTTCCGTTGGCTTCCTACCAGCCTTCTCCCGACACTGTTACATCTTATTTCTACACGTCACACTTCCTAAATCACACTGTAACACTGACTGTGTACACGCATGTGCATGTGCTGGGGATTGAACCTGGCACCTCACATATTCTTAGATGTGAGCTGACACAATGAGCCAAACCAATAGCTTGAAATATCAAGAGTAACTGGGGTGCTAGCGCACGCCTTTAATCCCAGCACTTGGGAGGCAGAGGCAGACTGGTCTCTGAGTTCAAGGCCAGCCTGGTCTACAAAGCAAAGTTCAGGACAGCCAGAGAACAAAGGAACCCTGTCTCAAAAAACCAAAATGAATGAAGAGCAAGAATAACCAGTGTTTCCTGCTGGGGGTGGAACTTAGTTTAGAGCATTTGTCTAGCATGTGTGAGGCCAGGAGTTCCATCTGCAACACTGCAAAAACAACAGCAAGAACTCTTTCCTGTCTCATCCCATATTTCCCATCTCCAGCACCTTAGCCCTTCCTGCCTGACGTCACTGCCCCCAGCCTGGGATGCTCTCCTTGGCATTTAGTGCCTCCATCAGACTGGCCTGTGGCAAAGGCTGCAAAGCATTTTCTTGATTGCCAATTGCTGTAAGAGGGTCCAGCCCGCTGCAGGCAGTACCATCCCTTAGCAGGGGTGCCTGGGCTGTGTAAGAAAGACAGCTGAGCAAGCCATGGAGAGCAAGCCAGTAAGCTATGTTCCTCCATGGTCCTGCCCTGTCTTCCCTCAGTTGTGACTGTAACCAATGAGGTGACCGCAACCCCCTTCACCTTCCAAGTTGCTGTTGGTCAGAGCATTTATCACAGCAACAGGAATGCAAACTGGGTCATTACTATACTGTATTGTTTAGGGGGAAATAGGAAGGAAAAGTCCATGTGCCCGTGCAGGTGCAGCCTCAGTAGGCCTAACTACCTACAGCACTATCGGCAGTATGTCGGATGCAGAGATGCGGAATCCAGAGATAGGGATGGAGAACCAGAACAGAGGTTGTCTTAGCCCTGCAGATTTTTAGATGTATTTGTTTTATGTGTGAGAGTGTTTGCCTGCATGTATGTATGCATGTGTACCGTGTGTGTCTGGTGCCTGCAGAGGTCAGAAGAGGGGGTCTTACCTCCTGGGCCTGGAGTTACACGTAGTCGTGAACCACCACGTGGGTGCTGGGAACTGAACCCAGGCCCTTCTCTCCAGTCCCCAGATCATTCCCCCGCTCCATGCTCACCATCTTCCCCTAGCTCCTTCATGAAATTTCTTCCCTAACCACTAATCAAAGTTCAAGTGTTTCCCAAAAACCATGCTGCAGTCCTAACTCCGAACAGCAGCTGCTCGGAGCTTTGGAAATGGGGCCGGTGTAGAACTAGAGCAGTCATTGTAGCGTGGTTGCATATGATTGGTTTCTTCATCAAAACAGGAAGTCTGGAGACAAACACTTATGCAGGAAGATGGATACGTGACCGCGGGGTCAGAGGCTGCATCAGTGTGTCTGCAAGCCAAGGGACTGCTAAGACTGGAGAATCTGCAGAAGCTAGAAGGGAAAGTCACGCTCTAGGTAAAGGGCAGGGTGTGGCCCAGCCTCCCCGTGGGACAGCAACACAGGGGCTCTTTGGGCACACCAAGCTTACCGTGCTTGGCTACTGCAATTCGCAACAAATGCAGCAATTCCTAACAATTATTTCCCCCGGTTTTCCCATTAGGCTGTGGGTTTGATAGTGAAACAGTTTTTTCCTTGTTTTAAAAGTGTGTGTGTGTGTGTGTGTGTGTGTGTGTGTGTGTGTGTATACAGGCATGGGGGGTGCCATAGCAACGTCTGGAATTCAAAGGACAACTTCCCTCCTCCCTCATAGGATCTGTGTGAATGAGAGTCGGGGGACACAGGTAGAAAAGGAAAGTGAAAATGAGCCTCCTACTTTGGAGGCAGAGACAGGCAAATCTCTGTGAGTTCGAGGCCAGCCTGGCTGGTCTACAGAGCAAGTGCCAGGACAGGCTCCAAAGCTCTAAACCCTACAAGCCTCCCCAAAAAAAGAAAAAAGAAAAAGAAAATGGGCCTCCTGTGGCATTGGCTTCTTGTTCAGGAACACATTGCTACGGAGAGGCATCAAGAAGGCATGGGCGGGTCTCTAAAGAGGACCAGCAGCAGAAAGGGGAG